GTCTTAAATATTATGAGTTAAGTGGGCCCAAAACAAACGAAATGGAAATAACTATTAAAATAAATAAATCTATTTAGTAATAAACTTGGTCATCCAATTTGGGGTTTTCCTGATCCTTTTGGGCTTGTTTGCTCCTTCAACAACACTTGGCCCAATAATTTCTTCTTCGATTGGTGGTTCAGTATCAATACTCGGCTCATCAAGAAGGACCTTGTCCTCAAGGTCCAGATCAGGATAAGTCGCCTTGAGTGGTTGTAAAGACTCCCAAGTGGCTTCACTTTCAGATTGTGTTGTCCACTGAACTAGGACCTGTCGTAGAGGAGAACCATTAGAGGTGATGGTGCGAAACCCGAGAAGTTTGGCTAGGGTGAGCAGCGGATGAGGACCCAGTGTCGAAGGAGGTAGAGGACGCTGCTCGAAAGGGGGATCTCCATGACAGTGTTTGAGGACGGAGACGTGGAAGACAGGGTGGATCCTCGAGTCTGGAGGGAGTTGAAGCTCATAAGCGACCTTACCGAGTCGGCGGAGCACCCTGAAAGGCCCAAAGAAACGGTGAGCAAGCTTCTGAGAGGATCGCCGTTGAATCGAAACTTGGCGGTATGGTGTGAGTTTGAGGTAAACCCAATCCCCTTCGGAGAAAACCGTGTCTTGTAGGTGAGCATCAGCTTGCTGCTTCATTCGGTGTTGTGCACGAGCAAGATTGTCCTTCAACTGACGCAAAAACTTTTGTCTGTGAAGCAGGTGTTCTTCGATAGAAGCAATTGCAGTGGAGCCTGGAAGGAGATCTAACACCAGAGGTGGAGGGCGGCCATAGAGAGCTTGAAAAGGCGACATCTGAATCGAAGAATGGAAGCTTGTATTATACCAAAATTCGGCTAAATGAAGAAATTTTGACCACAGATGGGGCTCTTCCGCCACAAAACAACGGAAATAAGTCTCCAGACAACGATTAAGGACTTCAGATTGACCATCGGTTTGAGGATGGTAAGCGGTGTTGAACGCTAGCTGAGTGCCCAAGAGCCGAAAGGTCTCCTTCCAAAACTTGCTAACAAACACCCTATCTCTATCTGATATTATTGTTTTTGGAGTACCATGAAGCTTGCATATTTCAGAGACAAACTTTGCGGCCAACAGTGAGGCAGTATAGTGGGTGGGTAAGGGCAAGAAATGGGCGAACTTAGTGAACCGATCAATGATCACCCATATAGTAGTGAATCCATTAGAGCTGGGCAAGTGAGTGATGAAGTCCATAGCAATGTCCTCCCACACCTGAGTAGGTGTAGGGAGTGGTTGGAGTAAGCCTGAGAGCTTAGCAGTAGAGTACTTTGATTGTTGGCAAGTGTGACAGTTTCTGACATAGGTCTTGACATCTTTGTATAAACCAGCCCAATGGAAGGTGGAAGTCAAGCGTGCAACCGTGGCCTTAACGCCGGAGTGGCTAGCCACCGGAGTGTCATGAAACTCGGAAAGAAGTAGGTGCTGCAGATTGGACTCACGAGGGACATGAATGCGGGGATTAAAGTATAACAACCCATTCAAGTATGTGAACTTGGCTCTGAACTTGTCATCATTGTGCCACCTTTCCACCAATTTTTGGCCCTGTGTATCGTGTAAGTAAAACTGTCTTAACTGAGACAACAAGTTAGGAGTAGCAGTAGAAATGGCGGAGAGGAAAATGGATTCAGAGGCTGAGTGTATGTGTCGTGACAGAGCATCGACAGCACGATTGTCCACACCAGGTTTGTAGAATATTTCATAATCGAAGCCAAGTAGTTTAGTGAACCATTTCTGTTGTTCGAGAGTTTGAATGGACTGTGTCAACAAATTTTTCAAGCTTTTCTGGTCTGTATAAATTCGAAATTTCCTTCCCAGTAAATAATGACGCCACTTCTTAACAGATTCAGTGATGGCGAACATTTTGTGAGCATATGCGGAGGCTAAGTGCATCCGAGGGCCCATCTTTTTACTAAAGTAAGCAACAGGGTGAGATTTCTGGGAAAGGACCGAGCCAATAGCGGTGGAGGAAGCATCACACTCCAAATCGAAAGGGATGGAGAAGTCTGGAAGCTGTAAAATTGGGGTAGTTGTCAAAGCCTTTTGTAATTGTGAGAAAGCCTCATTGGCTTCAGTACTCCATAAAAATGTAGGGGATTTTAATATATCTGTAAGTGGACTTGCAATGGCTGCATAGTTACGGACAAATTTTCTGTAGTAACCTGAGAGGCCCAAGAAACCTCTCAAATCTGTCATGGATTTTGGTTTGGGCCATTCCAAAATTGCTTGGATTTTGGAAGAATCCACTTGAACACCAGCGCCTGAAATAATATGACCCAAGTAGGATGCAGAAGTAACCCCAAACACACATTTGGAATATTTCACAAAGAATTTTTGATCAAGCAATAATTGTAAAATCTGACGCAAATAAGTCAAATGTGAATTCCAATCTGCTGAATATATTAATATGTCATCGAAAAATACCAACGCGAAACGCCGCAAAAATGGCCTAAGTAAGTCATTCATTGCAGCCTGGAAAGTAGAGGGTGCATTGGAAAACCCAAAAGGCATAACAACAAATTCAAAATGTCCATCAATAGTGCGGAATGCTGTTTTAGAAATGTCCGTCGGAGCCACACGAATCTGGTTAAAACCAGAACGCAAATCCAAGCGAGTAAAATAATGTGCACCATGGAGCTCGTCAAGGAGCTCATCAACAGTAGGGATTGGATATCTATCAGGAATAGTGATAGCATTCAACGCCCTATAATCCACACAAAACTGCCAAGAGCCATCTTTCTTCTTCACAAGAAGAACTGGCGATGAGTAGGGACTTGTGCTGGGTTTAATCAACCCATCAGCCAACATTTCAGCAATCAACTTGGTCATGGTGGCGCGGTGGTATTGAGGATACCAGTAGGGCCGAACATTAACAGGGGTTGAATTGGGCTTGACATGAATGTGATGATCATGAGGCCTGGTGGGCGGGAGCCCGTGAGGTTTGTCAAAGACCTCCTTATAAGAGGTGAGGATGGAAAAGAGTGTTAAGTCCATATGTGGGGGGCTTCAAAAGGGACTGTATCTGCAGGAAGAGGGTGTGGTGTGGCATTGGAATTTGTGGGGGTAGCATGTTGCCCAATAGAAATGCTATAAAGTGCAGCAACAACATCAGTATCAAGCATACGAGTTAGTTGATGAAAGGAGGCTACACGAGGGGATTTTATGTCACTACCCATAAGAGTCACGGTTTCATTGTTAAGAGTGAAAGACATTTGCGGGACAGAATAATCAGTCAATACAGGTCCCAAAGTACTCAACCATTGTACGCCAAGTACTATGTCAGCCCCTTGTATTGGTAAGATATAAAGGGAAATAGTAAAAACTTGACCATTCAACAGTAATGGAACATTCTCACAAACCCCAAAACAGTAAATAAATTGACCATTACCAACCATGACAGAAAAAGTAGGGGTTGCAGAAATTGGCAAATTGAGAAATGTGGCAACTCTGGGCTGAATGATGTTGTGAGAACTGCCAGAGTCCACTAAAACAGTGAACGAGTGGCCCTGGATACAGCCTGGGATGCGCAGGGTGCGTGGTGTGAGGTCCCCCAAGATGGCACAAGTAGAGAGCTGGAAATGGGTTAATTCCTCCCCGGGAGAGGGATCAGTAGTAGGGGAAGGTGGGTCCCGATCTAGGGGTGGTGTAGGGTCCAACGTGTCATCAGAGGTGGGTGGATCCTCTGGAAGCAAGAGGAGTAGGTGCTTGGGGCGACAATTGTGGCCAATGTGATATTTGTCGTTATAGTAAAAGCAAAGGCCCTTGGCTCGTTTCTCTTGGATTTCTGTCGGGGACAGCTTCTTCCACGGTAACGGTGGGGTAGTTGGGGTGGGTAATAAGGGCTTAGAAGGTGGTTGTTGGAGTAAAGGTGGGGGGTTATACTGTCGGGGTGTGTAATGAGGGAATGAGCAACGATCATCAATTTTGGATTCGACCAGTTTTGCTAGCCCGATAGCGTTGGAAATGGATTGGGGTTGGTATATGGCGATCTCACGCTGAATTTCCGGTTTGAGGCCAGAAATGAAGCAATTGAGAATGGCGTCTGGGGGAAGACCGAAGACGCGGTTGGAGATCTTCTCGAACTGCAGTTGATAGTCGGTGACAGATGTGGTTTGACGGAGCTTGAACAAGGTCGCTTGGTGGTTCTCGAACGAGGAGGGGCCAAAGCGAGTCTCCAAGGCTCGAGTGAAAGCGGGCCATGAGGTGAGTTGGTTGGTATGGACAAGCCACTTGAACCAACTAAGAGCGACACCGGTCATGTAAAATGGAACCATCTCCAATCGACGTTCAGCGTCAACGTGGTACATTTCAAAGAACTGCTCCGCTTGAAAAATCCATTCAAGCAGATATGAGCCATCAAAGGTCTGGAGGTGAATTTTTGGGGGATGAGGGATATAGGTATTATTGTGAGAAAATGGGTTATGGTGGGGAGGGGTTGAATCTGATGAAGAGGACGGTGAACGGGTAGCTAGACGTTGTTGGAGATCGGCAACAGCAGATGAGAGGTGGTCATGGCGAGCCTCCATGGTGAGTTGGAACTCAACCATTTTGGCCACGAGCATGGCTTCAACACGAGAGACAAGGTCATCAGCGTTGATTTGGTTCTTAGGAGGCATGGTAACGGAATGAAAGCACCAAAATGATACGTGAAAAAAGTAGGTAAAGAAATATCCCTTTTCGAGATGGGACAGATCTCCAGAGAATAACAGAATTCGAATGATTGTATCACCACTTTTTCCTCCCCTTATTTCCATCATAATCAGTCTTAAATATTCTGAGTTAAGTGGGCCCAAAACAAATGAAATAGAAATAACTATTAAAATAAATAAATCTATTTAATAATAAACTCGTCCATTCAATTTGGGGTTTTCCTGATCCTTTTGGGCTTGTTTGCTCCTTCAACAGCACTTGGCCCAATAATTTCTTCTTCGATTGGTGGTTCAGTATCACCTTACCATGGAAAGATCCAATGGCGTCCTTGTGCACTGTAATGGCAGTGACCACCGGTACGTAGATGGCCATAAACCATGAACCGTGAATTTATACGGTTTCGGTACTGTTGCCGCACACTGTTCATGCAAGCAAAATCCTGGTGGCCAAGCCATCATCCATGAATCAAATCCATTACTGGAATCATAAAAAAAACAGATACTGTAAATATAAAAATCAAGTAATTCATTGTATATGATGTGTGAACGCTACTGCATACTCATCTCTCAATTTATAAGCTGTAAATTTACTAAACCAATACCAATAAATTTGGTACGCTGAAATTCGGCCTACATTTTACATAACACGTGCCTCTTACTATAAATTGCATAAGAAAGAGATTGAACCATCCAAATAAAATTATAAAAATTTATTCAGATCTACAAACAGAGCACAGTTTGATGGAAGAATTTATTCAGAAATTAAAAGAAAGAATGAGAGAATCATTACATAGTTAACCAAAACCAAAATATTTGGCATACTGAATTTGTTGGCTTGCATTTTTCTTCATATTCAACCATTATTGGAACCTATGTCTACTTCTTATACCAAATATAAAAATGATTTCATTGGCATATGTTAACATGTTACGTGTCCCTATAGGCTATGGTACTCCCTACAGATAATTTTTCAGAAAACTAATCATTTTGTAATAGTCACTAGTACAGAAATCATTTTTAACATCGGTCTTTCCACATCAGTTCTTTAAGAACCGATGTAGAAAGTGAATTCAAGACTTTTAACATCGGTTTAGTTAGGAACCGATGTAAAAAACACTTTCTACATTGGTTCCCAGATGAACTGATGTAGAAAGTCTTTTTATAAAATTAAGAGAATTGTTACTGCACTACAAGAAATTTTGATATTACCGACGGTCAAAATCCGTCGGTAAAAACAAAAATCAATATCCATTTACCGACGGATTTTCGATGGCCAAAAATCTATCAAAAATACTTTTATTATTTATTATTATTTATTTTTCCCTATTACATTTTTATAAGCTTCAATTATTATTAAATTAAAAGAATTGTCATTGGCAAGATTTGAACCTAACCTTAGAGTTAGAGGTCGATACTCCAACCACTAAGTTACCAGAATTTTTTGATAATAATTTACAAATAAATTATATTTATATACAAATATATTTATATATATTTATATATTTATATTTTATATATATATATATATATATATATATATTTATTTATTTATTTATATAAATATATATATATATATATATATAAATATATATATATATATATAAATTTATATAAATATATATATATATATATATATATATATATATATATTTATGTACAATTAAATATTTTTATATGTTTTTATATATTTTTATATTTTTATATATAATTAAATATTTATTTTTTAAAATTATTTAATTTAAGAAATTATTATAAATTAATCTAATTATGATTAAATGAAATTATTAAATAAAAAATATTTAATTTTTTAATTAGTTGAATATTTACTAATTGATAATTTACTGATCGGAAGAATTTATCGACGAATATATCCGTCGATAATTAATTATTAATTTATCGACGGATATATCCGTCTGTAACTAATTATTATTTTACCGACCGGATATATCCGTCTGTAAGATCAAATTCCACAAATATTTTATATCCGTCTGTAATAATTATTTTCCGATCGATTACAAATTCGTCTGTAATACGCGATTTTTTTGTAGTGTTTGCAGAATTTGAACCAAGTACCTTAGAATTAAAGACTAATACTCTAACCACTAAACTACTAGGATTTTCTAATAATAACTTATAAATAAATTATATTTATATACAAATAAAAATGTATATCCATGTAAATATATAAATATAAAATATATAAATACAAATATATTTATATATTTATATATTGGATGTGAGAGCGCGCTCGAGAGTGAAAGTGTGTGTCAAGTGGGTTTTCAAAATTTGATGTCAAATTTGTGAGCAAGTCTCTTTATATGAATTTGTAATTTAATGATAGAATATAATCTTTATAATTTATTTATAATAATATAGAATATAATCTTTATAATTTGTATTTATATATTTTATATTTTTATATTTACATGGATATACATTTTTATTTGTATATAAATATAATTTATGTATAAGTTATTATCGTAAAATCCTAATAGTTTAGTGGTTGAAGTATCGATCTTCGACTCTAAGGTATTAGGTTCTAATCTTGCTAGTGACAATTTTCTTAATCTAATAATAATTCAAATTCCTAAAAAATATAATATAAAAGGGAGAGGAGACCTCTAGATCAATAGATAGGGTAATTAGAGAGCGGTTATGAATAAAATAAATAAAAATATTTTGACCAGTTTATATGTTATAATATTTATAAATTAAATAAAAATGTATCAGTAATTTTATGATAAAATTTTTGTTAAATATACAATTATTTTGAAACCAAAATTTTATATATATTAAAACTGTGAAGAAAAAGTTTGTGCGAATTTGAAATTATATATGCAGGCAAAATATCTTATTTAATTTAAAATTTTACGGGAAGGTTTTTTTTTATAAAATTTTGTAGAATATCAACTATGAATTTTAATTTTATAGATAATTAGAGAAGAGAAATAAAATTTGAAATTTGAAATTCAAATAAATATATATTAAAAGAAACAATCCAGCAATTGTAGACATGTATTTTATTATATTTTATTTATATTGTTTAGAAAGAAATAAAAAATATAATATATTAATTATTTAAATTTAAGCAATTATAATTAAAATAAAAATATTATTAATATTTAATATTTATTAACCTATCATTATTAATAGTTGTATTACAGAATTTATACTTTCTAGTTTTTATAAAATAATAATATATTACTAGAAAAACGTCTCTAAAATTTAGTGAGAATAATATTTATTTAAGATGTTTGATTCTATTTTCATATTTTTTTAGTATTAAAAAGACCTTCTTTACTTTATTTTCTTAAATTATATTCATACATTTTTTTTCATAAAATTATAATGCAAAATAAATAAATAAATGTATATATTATCGATATATCAAAGGATTTTTTTAGTTTTCATATACATTTATGCGAAACTAATAAATCAAGATAAATTTATAATAATAAATGATAATTATGATAAGAAAAAAAACTAACTATTTATTTCTTCAATGGAAAGAAGACTTTCCTTATATATTACTAATTTGGATGAATTTAGTTTTTTTCCAACACCAAATTTCTTAATCATGTGGGTACTTAAATCCAACCAAACTAATTCACCATCATATGTTTGGAATAGTATATTGCCCATATTTCTTGCTCCAACAGGACGAGCAATGCAAGGTGAGAGATCGAGAACGAAAATTTTTGCCCATGTTTCCTTTTTACCGAGTTCAATAAAAATTGATATATAAAATATAGTTGAATTTTCATACTTCGACATCACAACAATAGACCCATTTAAGACCAATAAATATAATGATCAAAATTATCATAGGCTTCGAGAGATATCTTTAAGGGCATGAGAGTCTTATAACACACCTCATTGCTCAATTCATATGACACCAAATATTCTCTACTATCGTTTGTAGAACCAAGCCAATGTCATATTCCATCCTAGTATAATTGTTGATCGCAATAAGAAGAACTGGGAAAATATTGATCAATTTCAAGTTTCCTCTAAGAATTACTTCTTAGACTATACATCTCCCATAAGGATTCATAGATGTTATAATCATCAGGGTATTCATCATCTTCATTTAATGGATAGACATCATCTTCATTCAATGAGTTATCATATTCATTCCATGCATTTGGGTTCTCATATTCCCATTCATCCAAATTATTTTTAAAATAACTTACCACCCTAATCACCTTATAATCATCTCTAATAGAATCATAGCCATATCCTTGATAGCTAATGAGTGGAGAAATATAATATGGCACTAGTGCAAAAATGACATTTTACATCACCCAATTATCGTCGCATGTCAAAATATTCGACGTAAATAAAACGCGGTGGCAATTTTGTAAATAAGAGGTGAAACTTTTACGTCGCATATTGTAGGAGGTGACGTTAAAAACCTCTTTTACGTCGCACCTAGTACAATGCGACGTAAAAGAGAGCTTTTTAAGTCACGTGGGGGGTGCGCGATGTAAAAAGTATCACTTTTTACGTCACATGGGGGGTGCGCGACGTAAAAAATATCACTTTTTACGTCACATGGGGGTGCGCGACGTAAAAAGTGATACTTTTTACGTCACATGGGGGGTGTGCAACGTAAAAAGCACTTTTTACGTCGCGCACCCCCCATGTGACGTAAAAAGTATCACTTTTTACGTCGCGCACCCCCCACGCGACGTAAAAGAGGCTTTTTACGTCACGTACTAGGGTGTGCGACGTAAAAGTTCTTTTTATTCTCTTCCATTCCCACTCCCGCATCTCGCGCCGCAAGGGTTTTTTAGAACGACAATGAAAACGACAACGATAGCTACCTTTCCACACCATTTTCGATCATTTTGGCAAGTGAAGAACATCAACATTGTGTCTCATTTTACGAATTTGACATTTCTCCCCGATTGGATTCGAGTTTGAAATCGTTTTCGTGTTTACTCGAGGTTAGTGTTCTATGTCTCCCGATATATGTTCAAATTGAATCCGTGATTGTTTTTGGGATCTAAATCACGTCATTGTATGAATGTCTCCACTCGGATTGTTATTGGAATGTCATTATTTTGTTTGAGTGCATTTTCGGTTTACACACTCCATATACGTGCTTTATTATTTGTATATTAATTTATTTTTAAATATAGATTTTGAATATCTAGGAGTGACGAAACTTTATAACATAATATGAATCGAACTTGGATGAATGCACGTCGTATTAGTGAAGAGTACGAAAAGGGAGTTGATGAATTTTTGAAATTTGGTAGTGAAAATGGAAAAGGTATTGAATAATATATGGCTTTTTTTCATTTAGAATCGTGTCTATAACTAATGTTCTAAGTGGAAAACCCGGAACAAAGACTTTGCAGCTTCATTTATCCTAAGATTAGAAACTTATTATAATAAGTGAATACCATAATTATTGTTTGTATTTAAATTTTGAAAATAACATTATATTTATTCATCATTATATTACTAGCT